ACTCAGCATTCTATGTTTTCTCTGTATACAAAAGTTCGCGTGGGAAATACGGAAAGCAATAAGTTTGCCCACGTGAGTCCGTCCCACGTGAGTCTTCACCGTCAGGTGAAAAATTGCGTCATCTCAAAGTGACACGTTTCCAGAAACCAGAAATGACCGGGGCTTAATTTAAGATGCAGCTGACTCAGAATTCCATTACGCACAATGCGTCCCAAGATCAAGGTCAAGGTCGAGATTTAACGTTCTCTATAAATAGCTGGTAAAAATCCTAGAGATAAAAGGCGGCGGGGCCTCTATAGGCGGTGTCTCGCGGTATCTCGCGCGAGTCGCGTCTGTAACATCGTTGGAAGAGCGCGCCGGGCGAAAGAGCGCGAGCAATAAACAACGAGCAGTGGCGTGCAACGCAACGGCGGCGGCGGGTCGCGCGCGGCGATTACGCAACGCCGTGTAATTTCAGTGCGCGAAATCCAAGCGGTCGTCGGGATTCGGCCGCTGAGAAATTTTGCAAGTGCCAAACGGCGCGCGCGGGGGGCGCGTCTTGGCGTTCGACCTTGGCACCGACAATTCCGCGAGTATCATCATCATTCTTACTTCTCGTGGATTTGTGCACGCTGAATAATTCAACGAGCGCGGCAACGCTAGCACACCGCACCGGCTCGACTAACGAAGTGCCGTACGCAATTCTCACTTAACTCGACAAGATTAATAATATTCATTATGGAGTTCACGTTGAATTGGAAAAGTCTGGAAAAAGACCTAAAAATTTAATATTTTGTTAGAAAATGAGCTGCACGCGAAATCTTGCGGTGATCTCGATCAAGCTCCAATTAATCAAATTAGCGATTAATTTGGACCAGCAAAATTGTTCACAGCAAAATTTCTGGCTATATAATTCGCTGCTCCTGATTTATAATCTTCCTTCTATGTGTTGAGCAACAATAAACAAATTCTATGCTAACAAAATATGACAGGTATCACTTGGTAAATTATTCGCCGATTAAGTTAATCGGAGCTTGGTCGAAGTTGCTCAGAATGTATATTCAAATGTTAGAATTCATATAGATACGAATAATGTCATGAACACATATTAACGCATAAAGTTACACGCATATCGGGGCATACTCGCGTGCTTCCTACCTAAACGTTCTCGCGCATCATGATTGTCGGCTATATTTAAACCAACAGTTTAAACGCCTCGAAGCAGCTGAAGGCTCATATTTTCATTATATTTTAATTTTATACATATCTATGTTTGACGGATAACAATACTGATATAAAAAACAATAATTGGAAAAAAATAAGTTTCTACTACAAAGAACAATTAAGCATCGCCGTACGCGAACACGCGAAGACGGGAAGCACATGTCTCGAATATATGTCAAATATGCGTGCAAGTCCGTGACATTTGTACTCCGTGTGTATATACTTCGAAGTTCTTCGTATCGCTAAAGAATTTAAAAAGAAAATTGCGGAGAATTTAAATCGTGTATATACGTCATGATCCATATATGATGTATAGAACAGATCCCTTCTCGCTTATCAATAATCCACCTTGTTACGCGTACGACCACGTACATTAATCGTGTCCGGTGCGCTTGCACTCTCAGCGAACAATTTCCCCGCAGCGGCCAAGAAAACTTCGTTTACGTAGGTAATTTGCATAGTTCAATAGCTTATTGCTCGCGAAGAACGGTAAAACCCGGCGAGAGCCGTCGAGGTGTCCTTGCGGCCGCGGTCGCACTGGATAGTCATTAACACACGTTGTTGTACACGAGACTGCCCGGTTGCGATTAATGCAAGATCGGCCGATTAATCCGCAAAGTAACGCAGCTTCACGCAATCCGAACACCAATGACGGAATAAAATTCCCATTTCTTTGGCGCGGGTTGTTACGGAGACAGCGCAAAACGTTCAATGACATTTTTTACCTTGCGATAAGATGCAAGGTTGGTCCGAGGTGTCCGAGCAAACGTAAGTTTGCTGAATCCGTAGTTGGATTAATGACTGGTGATTACGGTGGCGAAACAAATTTATTGACAATGTTTCACATGCGACAATCATCTTCTCGTTTTTCTAACGGTGTGTATAGAATCGTCCTGTTGAGAGCAATAAATATCGTTTATATCTGATCTTAAGGGCTCAGTCACAATGAGAAAAATAAGGAATAAGATAAAGGAATAAGGAATAAGGCATGTTGCATCTCACTTTAATGTACGTGTACTAAAGTGAGATGCGACATTCCTTTATTCCTTATTCCTTTATCTTATTCCTTATTTTTCTCATTGTGACTGAGCCTTAAAGCACAGCAAATACTCTCGGCATATCGATATAGATTTATAAATTCTTTGTTACACGAATAAAAGTCAGAATTTTCAATTCTAGCGTTTTGTTCCCAAATCACAATTTATCCACTGTAACGTTTAATTGCGGGGCTAAATATTTTGCTATTGAAATTCCACGTTTGGTTTCCTACATACGAATTTTTTTCCTGTTAGAAGAAAATCTGACAGATATTTAATGACTCACGTGTCTCCGTTAATGCGACACGCACTTTTATCCGTCTATCTCGCGTCCATTCGACGAATGGGGTACGTAAAGGTGAAAGAATTCATCCGCGGAAATTGTGACGCGTGATATCTTTTACATCCGGTGTATGAAAGTGCTGAATGGCTATTACCAAAGCGTCAAGAGCGTGAAACGACTCGTCAACGTTGCAGCAACAGCCCTATCGCTCCTCTCCTCATCTCCCGTTGTACCTATAAACGAAAGTCCCTGAAACGAAAACTGCCTACTTCCGAGCAATAAAGACCAGTGCCGTAATCATCGTGATTTAACGACATTGACTCGACCACCGTGCGGGAAGTCATCGTGTATACGTGAAATAAATGTTTTCATATCAAATCTCCTGATCTCCGAAAGAAACACTGGTAATCTTCGTCACGTGATTTCAAGGCGGGGAATGCAGTTTCCGTCGTGCCTCTATATGTTGCGCGTGGCACTCTTTCGACGTTGAAACGAGGCCTATTCTCTGTAGCTGCGCTACAATTATACTTTTCACTCTTAAAAAATAAATATATAATTAAACATTGGAGAGAGAAAACGGAGAAGATCTGCGAGACGCTGTGAAGAACTGATATTGCTACGAAGCAAATTCTCCTATTGGATATCTCGCGTGCGTCTCATTGTCAGAGATTACTGTCGAAAGAAAAACAAACCTGTCAACTATATTGAACCCGATCGTACGATCTTTCGGATACGCGCGTGCGAAACCATCGTCGGTGCCAATTAACGCTCATTTAATGTCGATGTTTTAAATTCAAACGGAATTACAGCGTCCTAATTTCCAACGTAATTTGCAGTATTTCGGACGTATCGTAGAACCCCTCTCTATCTCGAATCCCCCTTCATTCTGGAACAGCTGTTCCCCTGTCAAGTGGAAGTCTCCTCTTGCGTCTCGCTCCCCCGCTCCTACGCGTTTGCCACGTGACCGCGTGGCTGTATGCGTAGAGCGAGGGAACGAGACAGCGAGAGACGGAGAGCGAGCGATGACATTTTCGTTTCACGCACGTTTCGTTAGGATAAAAGCTTGAGGATTAAGAGTCGAGTTCCAGGATAGCGGGGCAGCTCGGGGTCCAAATGATTCTAGAATATTCTACTGTAAAAGAGAGAAAATGGTCATCATAACAGAATCGTTTGAGTTAAATTTAAGTTCTGTTAATATATGTATGTCTAGTCGGATTTACGTTATATTTAGTTACATTTGTTCTTAGCTAAATTTAGTTTTGTTCGTATATGTATATAGGATATTCTCTTACTATAAAGCACAATAAGCTCCCTAGGCTGCAGTGCATAGGCTTTGAACCACCCCTTGTCTATTATTATTATTATAGTATATCCTCTTCAATTTTTCAAAAAAGGGAGCGATTACCCTGCATATCCTGTATACTCATTTAAATGCTGAAAATAAAAAAAAGTGCAGTTGAAACAAGCAAACCCGAGCACTCTTGCTCGAAATAAAATAAACGTTACAGTCACCTTCTTATAAAGAGAAAAGTCACAAGATCAAAAGGTGTAACAAAGGACAAATGTGTCCCTTGTAGGAAGAGCAAGATGATGCAACCAAAACGTACGAGTAACACAACCGATACAAATGATATAAAGATGAAACGAGTATATGGTTTTCGAAAAAACAGAGTCGAGACATTTTTTCTTACAGTGAAATTCAATATCCAACGGGAGTATTCGATCTCTAATTGTCCCCAAAGAGGTCGAAAGAAAAAAGAATCTTCATAGACCTGAAACGTACTCCGATATTTATTACAAAAAAATATCTCAATCATTCTGACGCCATGTACACGCGTACTTCACAGAAAAAAAGGTCACCAGTGTAGAAAGTGTAATTGAGAAAACAACATATATCTCCCGTACCGTCGCTTTAATAACATTTCTGGCTCCGAAGGAAGTTTAGATCGCTTTGCCCGATAAAAAGTCGACTGATTTTCACGAACCCACTTAACGCACTTGGCAGGATCGTTGCGTCATTAATCGCTGCAGCGCTGTGAAGCGATCCCGAAGTATGAAAAGTGCAAGCCGAGACAAATGGATCTCCAGGGGCGATCGACCCCGGCGAACGTTCAACCGATCCTTCTCTCTATATCGCGTCCACCTAACCCGAATTATGATACGAGATTCGTCGTTGCTGCAGCAACGATCGCGCCCTTTCCGCGACTCGCTCTCCGGACCATCTCCAGAACACCCTACGAAGTACGCGTGTGTTGCACTTGAAACGCGAGAAGTGCAGAGAATCACGGCCGAGAGAGGCGAGCGGACGCGACGGCCCCACAGCCGTATACAATTCGCGGTAATGCGTTAAACGACGCTCCGGCGTATAATCAGTACACCCCGCCGACGATAACTCACCGCCGCGCCGGTCTGGGTACATATGTACGCGCAGCGATATATCTCGGCGAAGCCGCCGCCGCCGCCGCCGCCGGGCCTACCTCGACAAGCACGACGAAACGCCAGCAGGGAGGTCCGATCCTCGCGTCGAAGCGTGGCATACAAGCTAGGGAACGGTGGCAGACGAGCCGCCGGCGCGGCACGGATCAGCCAGCGGTGCGCGCCCGCCAACGAGAAGCCGATGCCGCTTGTCAAGCGTCGTCCGTCGTCGTCGTCGTCGCTCCGAGAACCGCTCCGAACGTCGTCGTCGCGAGATATCGCGCACGGCACGTTTCTCACTTCGCGCGATGATACACCCTGCGACGGCGGCGGGGTCCGCGCGCGTCGTCCACCCGTCCGCCTCGCGCGCGTACGTAACAGTTGAACACTTTCACTACGCCTGTCGGGGCGGATTCGATCGTCGACGTCGCGGGGCACCAACACCGACCACAACTTTGACCGCGAGATGCTGGGCTTTGTACAACGCTACGACAATTGACTCTGCTCGCTGGCTCGCTCGCGCGCGCGCGCGCGCATCTGCACGTCGGTGTTTACTTTGCGCTACTGTGATTGCTACTGATCGCTGATCCTCGATGCGCGCTTACCGTTTGTGCCCGACGATCCCTCTCCGGGGTACCCTCTCGAGATCGCGAATCGTCTCGCGCGTGTACGTACTACACCGCCGTCGCGGAAATCAACGACCGACGACGCAGCTCGGTCTCTTTCTCTCTCTTTCTTTCTTTCGCGCACAATCGCGACGCGTATGTACATACGTCCGCGCATCACGCGCGTACAAGGGCCACTGCGCGCCGACGGCGGCGGCCGCGCCGCCGGCCGCGCCTCGCGGCGCGCGGCTGTACTAACGCGCGTCACGAAGTGATCGATAGATAAACGGCGTCAACTGCGTGCGTCAAATCCGTAATGCGAATATTATACAATAAGTTAAAGCATCGATGTATGTATGTAGGAGTGTATGCGTGCACTACACGATCCGACGTTACGTCAGACAAAAAAGGGAACAAGATTTTAAAAGGGAAAAAGATTAATTTTAACACGTTTTTATTTTTATAAAAATATTGATTGCCCTACATATTTTGAGCTGTATGAAATCTGAATACATTTAAATATTTAATAAGACCCGGATAGCCGGATGGATATATCTGTCGAGAATAGATTTTAAAAGTTGCAAATTTTGTCGATAGAATGCCAATAGAAATGCAACAGAATCTGTTAAAGAATATAATGGCAGATTGACTGCAGAGCAGAATCTGTTGTTTCATTACCAATTTAAATGATGTATTCCATTTTAAACGTTTACGAAATGACAGATTCTGTTCGGTTTTTATCGATGAGCTGTCGTCAGATTATAATATCGTTAGATTCTGCTAGTAAAACACAATTTAATGCGGACACAGATGATATCTCGAATCTGTTGACGCGATATCTGAGCAAATCCGCTGCCAATCTGTCATCATATTGTGGACAGTTCGATTGCTTAATTACTGCAATGGTAATCTTGCCCGGATCAGAGTAGATAATAATGCATTTTTGATGATGCGAGTGTTGAACGAAAATTTCCTAATTATATAATTACTAAATAAATCAAATTAACTATGCAAATAATAAACTAAAATCTAAATAATAAAATTTTATTTATTCTTTTCGATTTTATCCTGATTTACTGAAGCTTGTACCAAAAATTAAAAAAATACTAAAACTTTAATAACACTTTATAAGCATAAATTATAGGGCCGATATCACAGTCTCCGATTAAACTCACTCTTCGTCTCTTTCTAGGGGGATGACAGTTAGAAAGAGATGCAGAGTGAGTTTAATCGGAGGATCACGTTCAAAGATTGTGATATCGGCCCTTAGACTTACATACTGTAATTATAAAATGTGAATTAATGTCAAGATTAAATCCCCGCGGGTTTCGCGCTGCTAACTTCAAACCGTTGTCCACTGCTACTCCGCCGATACACGTGTTTTATTGTTCTTTATATATCTACACTGGACTGCACTAAAATTAAATTTCGCTTCCTCGCTAACAGGCTAAACTTCAAATCACACATATATCTATTATTTCGCTAAGTGCAGCGAGTGTACACCAGTAAACCAGTTCAGTTGTAAATAACAGACTTACGATCGACGCGTGCAGTCGGATATTTCTCGTGTTCTTCGGACGATCCGACCCTACCGAATTCGCCTCTGATACTCCGATGTTCGCCACGCGCGCGTTAAAATCCCGCGTGCCGCTCGTACTACCTGCACGATCTCGCCTGCTCCTTTTCAGGTACACAACACACACCTACGTTTCTCCAGTCTCCACAAATGCGAGTACGCCACTTGTCGTTGCTCCGTTGCTGCACGCGCGGATCTATGCGCACCTGACAGGAACCGTCGTTTCCTCATAAGTTCTTTGTCATTCGCCGCGTCATCATCGTTGCACATCGATCGTTAAATCGACGTATCCCGGTTAGACAGTTTGGCGATTTCGCGATTTTTTTTCGGTGAACGACGATTTCGCGACGATACCGAGGAATCGTCGCGGCTCCACGAGCTCTCCGTCGTCCGTCGGTTAAATTCGTGCTAGCGCGTCGCTGGACCTAACCTCAACCTCAACGGCACCCACCGTCGTGTGACTCGTGACTTGGCCTTTGTCAGTGTCGCTTTTTATTTTTCTTTTAATTACGAGGTAATCTTGGCGCGAGACAATTCGTCGTCAGTTTATTCCAGTGACGGAGGTATCGTGCGTATGAGAGGGAGCGCGTTGTTCACGCATAACCTATAACCCCCGAGCGAAGCCACCACCGAGATCGGTGGTGCGAATGATATTTGGGGTGAACAGTGAAAGAGAAAGAGAAGGAAACGGTAGATTTCGATCGTGTCGCGTCCCACGCGAAGTCACGTCGTCGACGATGACGTCGTTTTATCAGAGCGACGAGAACTCCTTTGCGGAGAGTTGTGACTGCAAGTAAGAATACTCTGTCGCTTTAATAGCGTTGATTTATTGACCAAGCAACCGTACGCTACCCGAGCTTGAGAGTGGTAATGTAAATTGTACAATACACACTGGGGCTACATGTGCCTTTTTATACATTCTTTTTTCTCCCCATATCTTTTGCTGTGTCCACAAGATTCTTCTTGCTTTTCTGTGAATTGTGTCACAATCGCTGGAAGTTTCGCCCTGTTACAGGGAAAATAAAAGAAAGTAATTATTTTGAAGAAAATTATTACACTTGAGCGAAACTGATTTCGACATGTAGTTTTGCAATTAGATATTCACCAGTGACATTTATATTTTGCCCTTTGAAGTGGTTGAAGTTAATGGTTACTTTTTGACTTACTTTTAAATGTAACGTGCAGGGTATGTTTTAAAACTATTAGATATTTTTGCTATGATTCATTCTTTTCTTTAAGAAAGTTCTTTCATTTTTTTCTTTATGGAAGATGTAAAAGTGTGTTCAAATGGTTCCTCAAGAATTAATATTTGGAGAAAACAATTATTTAACAAATTAAACTAGAAAAAAACATATATACAAAACATAAAAAAATATTACTATTTTTAGTTAAAATTGTTCTTTAGTGTTATTTTATTACGACTCATTCTTATTATTAATCAGCTGTTATCTTACTGAAATGAGAAAATGAGAAATGAGAAAGATTAATGTCCATTTCTATCAATGCAGATTAACTTTAATCTTGGTTTAACTTTCTTTTATTTTTTCCTAGTTCTTAGAGAATTAGAAAAAGGTAAAAACAAAATAAATTAAACCGAGATTAAAGTTAATCTACACAAATGTGCTACATTTTTATTTTGCATTTGGTCTACTAAAACAAGAATGCAGATCGAAGAAAAAAATGATTTGAACAAAGAGAATATTTTCTCGACGATTTAACAAACCAGAGACTATGTAACTTTATAATCTATGTAATAGTTTGTATTTATTCAATATTTTATTTCATCTTTGATATTATTAATATTTTATTAAATATTTTGTAACGTTTCAAGAATTATTTTACAATTTTGTTTTAGTTAGAAAATTTTCAGCATTGTTGTTGTACAAATTAATGTATCCCTAAAGTCATTATTTGTATTTCTTTTATGTCTAGAAATAATATTTCCGAATCCATGGCTTCGATGAGCAATATGTCGACTCATAAACGTGTGGAAAAGCGATACGATGATATAATAAAATCACAAAATGACGACCGATTGTACAGAGGCTTAGTACTTGCTAATAAAATGAAAGTACTTTTAATAAGCGATCCAACAACTGACAAGAGTGCTGTTGCAATGGACGTTAATACTGGTAATCATATTATTATTATCACTATTTTATTTATACTTGATGTTTCTAGCAGTTCTTATCAGAATTTTCTTATAAACTCACATTGTACGTATATTATAAATTATAACAAAAAAAAAATATATAAAAAGATAAATGACCTTCATCGAATAAGACATATTTATTAATAATACATATATATATTCCAACTTTT